ATAAAGTGTATAGTTATGTGACTATTCTAATAATTACAGTGCAAGATGGCTTGTCTCGAATCTATGTGTAAATTGAAATTATCACGGTAACTATACCTTGAGAAGTGATTTCCAGGGCATCAGGGTTTCGTTTCTCTCTGGACGGGGTTATAGAGTAGGATTCCTGGCCATTGACTAAAAGTGGTTTGCCAGTCGTAGGATCAAAAGCACGAACATCGATCTTCCCGGGTGTTAGTACTTCTTTACTTAGCGTTTCCTGGGAACCTGACCCTATGCGATACCCATCAGAGGGATGATTGTCATTTGAGATGATAACTGCAGTGGATTTGTACTTGTTCTTTAGGATAAGAGTTGCGTAATATCGATCACGTGGCGCTGGTTTATCTGGAATATCACCAAAGACGATTATCATTTACATGAGTAGATTATGTCAAAGTTATTTGTACAACGACTTGTAGTGAGTCAACAATTATAACTGTTTGGCAATTAATAGTTGGCTGGATTATAATATGCATTGAGTGTATGATTGATTGGTTGATTGATTGATTGATTGATTGATTGACTGATTGACTGATTGACTCGTTGATTGGTTGTTTTATTCATTGAAAAATTGATTGATTGATTGCCTGAGTGATTGATAGATAGATAGATTGTTTGATTGATTTATTGACTGATTGACTCGTTGATTGGTTATTTTATCCATTTAAAAATTGATTGAGTGATTGATTGCTTAGTTGCCTTATTGATTAAATTAATTGCTGATTGATTTATTAAATGAACGATTGATTGATTGATTACAGCCAAACCTACTGAAGCGTTCCTATCGAGGTTGGAAGGCTCGATTTATTATTCCAAATTTGGTTCCAAATTTATATTTAAATGTGCAAAAACAAAACCGACAATGTAAATTTCAAATCTGACGTCGATTTGAACCTCGATTCCTGATTGGATTATTCCAAAAATAAACAGTACGTTGCATATTTCGAAAAAAATGGCGGCGGTGAATAGTCTTCAGTGGCCGTACACCCCAGGAAAACCTTTATCGATTGCTGAAAGACAACACATTATACAATTATTTAACGGCGGACTCACAAAAACGGAAGTTTCTGAACGGCTTCGCGTAACTTTTCGGTGCGTAACAAACGTCATAGAACATTATCGTCGGTATGGCTCTGTCAATCCGTTAGGACATAGCGGTAAGCAGCCTGTTGCTTTGACATATGATATTCTGGAGGACATAGAGGTTTGGAAGCATCAGAAACCATCCTTGTATCGTCGACATCGTGAAACAACTTTTGGAATGCACTGCCGCGAACGAGTGAACGTCATTCCCGCGCTTTACCCAACATGAACTTCGTTTTATTATTGGAATAATCCAATCAGGAATCGAGGTTCAAATCGACATCAGATTTGAAATTTACATTGTCGGTTTTGTTTTTGCACATTTAAATATAAATTTGGAACCAAATTTGGAATAATAAATCGAGCCTTCCAACCTCGATAGGAACGCTTCAGTAGGTTTGGCTGTAACTGATATTGCGACATACTCACCAACACATTCAGCATCAGTGATATCAATAGAAGTCAACTGTTGCTTGTATTCACTTGGAGTTGCAACGTACTCCTCACCATCGTTAAGCAGCAATCCGCTACCAGTAGAGACATCCTGAGCAGTGAATACAACGGAGACCGACACCGAGATTTCTTTACGTAACACCAGTGCCTGTTTGGGTTTTAAGAGGACACCGCCAGGTGGGTGTCCATCGTTGGAAACCAACTCTACCTCCTTGTCAAGTGTGTTGTTGATTCGCATACTGA